ACTTGTGGTTTGCATACTTAATTTTTTTAGCAATGGTTTAACTTTCAATAATGATTCTCTATTTTTAAATGATTGTTTCTATATTATTTATTTAATTTGATTGTTGTATGCTGCCCAGAGTCACTTCTTAAATTTAGCAAATTATTCTATTCTATTCTATTCTATTCTATTCTATTCTATTCTATTCTATTCTATTCTATTCTAATCTAATCTAATCTAATCTAATCTAATCTAATTAATACAATGCAATACAATACAATACAATACAGTACAATAATGTTATGTTATGTTATGTTATGTTATGTTGTTATATTGAATTACAAGGCAAGGATTTTTTTTAAGAAACAGAAAATAATATTTTCAAACAAGATTCTTCTGAACTTTTATGTTTGCTTATTTCTAGTCACTTTGATCTCACAGGGTGATAATGTGGTCTCATAATCCCATGAAAGCATTTGCCAAGCAATACATATTTGTGATTTTTTTGGCTAGTAAAAAAAAAGTCTGTGTACATTCTTCTTTCATAATTCTAAATCCTACTTTCCCTTCAGAAATGTCTATATAGTGGTTAATTAAGTTGGCACAATGTGTCATCTTTTGCTGAAGAAATATTTTTCATCAACGTTTATTTGCTATTTGAACTAGTGGTTTTCAAACAAAAACAAGCATCTAAGTTAACCTTCCCCAACTTGGTGCCCCCAGATGTTTTATAATCAAGCAAATAGAAGAGCTACGAAGCAACGGGAACATCAGAAAACCACACTATTACTTTTCATTGAAAGAAATGGAACTCATGTGTCTTTCTACTATTTACAAGATATTAAGGGAACATAAGTTGCTTTGCATGAATGCACACGTGAAGACAGCCAGGAACAATTCCTACAGCTGCTGCACAAATCCCCCAACACACCCACCCTCCAAACCAGTTCCTTTTAATGATTCAAATACAGGTGCTTTGTGCATGCTCCCATATGTTGCAAAGTCTTCATTCACATAATTAAAAGATCCAAGTCTTTTCCACGAGCCTACCGTATAGTGCATGCAAATAAAACAATATAATACAGGTTTAAGTATTATTCTTCTGCAACCTTTAGTTTGGGGCAGGTAGTGTCTGGTGGCTTTTTGATGTTGATTTTTTTAAAATGGGCATTCATCTCCATTCACCGTCAGTGAATTGTGTTAATAAACTTACTTTGCTGCAGTGATACTGAACAGAGTATTCCTTTCCCAGGAAAAGCTGTTTGCCTGTTAACTAAGCATGAGGCTCTAGTATGATCTACTCAGTCCATACTGGGAGCAACACGGGGGAGAAACAAGTTAAAGCCAGAGGCTGAACAAAATTCATTTCTATACAAACTCTCCACAGTTTGGAGCCTTGGCATCAGGCAGTCATTGTTGTGAACCTGATTTCCTTCTGAATTAGATTACTCTGTGATTCCCCGTTAAATAATCTGTTCCCCAAGTGTGTATAATTCACATGCTGTTGCTGCTTATATATACAGCTCTGTGAAATGGAGCTTTCCTCTAGCATCGGTCTCACCAGATGGCTAAAACATCCTGTCTCTGCTCCCCTCCAAGGTTATAGAAACTTATAATTACCAGAAACCAGAGCTTTTTCGGAGCTCTTTTTTTTTTCTCAGATTAGATTAGGATGATGAGATGGGGTAGGGGGGAGGAGGGGAGAAGAGGCAGTCATTCCTGCAAGTCCGATATGATTCAGGCAGAATTCTTGCCAGGAATAATCAGCCTATCCAGGGCCTGGCTAGGGAAAGGAAATCAAATAATACAGGAAAATAATGTATGTGCTTCCTCCCATCCCAAAACACACACTGGGTCCCCCCGGGAGGATCCCATCACAGTTGAGAACATAACTTAACTGCTGTCCAAGGCAACAACAGCCTTACTTTCTAACTGTGCTTTGCCTGCCCAGCCTCGGCTCCTTCCACTTGGCAGTGGCTACCTCTGACACAAGCGTTCATTTCAAATGAATTTTCTTATCCCCATCGATGTGGGAATATATAACTCATTTTCGGTTAAATGGAAAAACTAGAGGAATTGAGAACAGTGGAGGAACTGTATTTTGCCAAGCTGAGACTGCAATGCCTACACTATGGGGCACACAGATCTTGCTTCTGCCAGTCTTTCTCTCATGCCCTACTTTTTTTTGCCCTCACTCAATAAGAATCTGGAATTGGAAACCAAAGTCAAATTTTTTTTTACTGACGTTGGCAAAAGGAAAAGACCAAATAAACGTTAACTCCACCCTGCAGATATTTCCAGATCCCATTTTCCCAAACGCTGGACATATAATGAGGACCAAAGAGGGTGTCTTACCCAGAAGGCTGATGCCCAACCGGGAAAGGCCTTGTCTTAGTCCTTCTCCCAGATTTTCTGGCAGCTGCCGTCTCCATTCTTCTTGCCGATTGTAATGCTCCTCATCCAGGGAAAGCCTATCCATATTTCGTGCCAGGCTTGTTGCTAGGTTGGTAATGGATGTTAGCGTACCTGAAGGCAAACAGGTGAGTCAATGCCCAGTTAATTTGGAAAGGGCAAGAGATGTTATTTCAGGCAGCCCTTGACTTACAAGAGTTCATTTAGTGACCGTTCAAAGTTACAATGGCACTGAAAAAAGTGACGTATGACCTTTTTTCACACTTACGACCATTGTGCCGTCACTATAGTCATGTGTTCAAAACTCAAACGTTTGGCAACTGGCTCATATTTAGGACGGTTTCGGTGTCCCAGGGTCGTGTGGTCACCTTTTGCAACCTTCTGACAAGCAAAGTCAATGGGGAAGCCAAATTCACTTAACAATCGTATTACTATAATAATAATAATAATAATAATAATAATAATAATAATAATAATAATAATAATGATAATGATGATGATGATGATGATGATGATGATGATGATGATGATGATGATGTTGGAAGGGACCTTGGAGGTCATCTAGTCCAACCCCCTGCTCAGGCAGGAAACCCTATACCATTTCGGACAAATGGCTGTCCAGTCTCTTCTTAAAAACCTCCAGTGTTGGAGCATTCACCACTTCTGGAGGCAGATTGTTCCACTGGTTAATTGTTCTCACTGTCAGGAAGTTTCTCCTTAGTTCTAGATTGCTTCTCTCCTTGATTAGTTTCCATCCGTTGCTTCTTGTCCTGCCTTCAGGCGCTTTGGAGAATAGCGTGACTCCCTAACAACTTCAGTGTTCACTTAACAACGGTGGAAAGAAAGGCTGTAAAATGGGGGCAAATTTCATTTATCAAATGTCTCACTTACCAACAGAAATTTTGGGCCAACTGTGATCACAAGTCGAGGACTCCCTGTATTTTGCTTAAAAATAACGGAAACTACTACAATCAAGACTTGTACCACATAAAAGTGGTATGTCACACTAATAATAAAAAGCTACTACTAATAAATGTTACTAATAATAAATGTCCCCAATTCTTAATTCACTCAGTAGCCTTTATTATGAAGCCTGCTGTTAACTATGGTACAACAAAACTATAATGGACTCCAGGGATTTCCAAAACTAAGTACAGTTCTTAGCTTTTTCTCCCCAAGTTTTGAAAAGGAAGAATTTCCATTTTTAAAAAAATTTCAGCATCCAGCAGAAACAAGCATGATTTTGTCTGGCTATGAAAAGGTTGTTTAAACCATATCCTAAATCAAGAAGCAACCAGCTAATGAAGGTTCCGCAAATAATAGTACTATTTGGAGAGACAATCTGATAGTGCTTTGAACTGCTGGCAACCTAGCATTTTTTCCGTCTTTTGAATCTTTTCTATTTTCCAGCTGGCCTAGGCAGCCACAAGATGGCGCTATGTCTGTACACAAATCCAGGAAAAGCCAGATGTGTGCTTGCTTTACAAATGTGTTCAGCAATATTTAATAAGTGTCTATTATTATCTTTTCAACTACATATGATGAGGCAATGTGGTGTAAGATTTCTGAAGTACTGCAGAAACTCTGAACTTCTTTAACGTTTCTGTTCAGTTACTGCATTACAAAATGGTCATGTGGGAAAGCTTAAGTCACTAGTAGAAACAATAGTAGAATAGAAAAAGTGGATGAGGTCCTCTCCCCCCAATACATTCTCTCTCTCTCTCTCTCTCTCTCTCTCTCTCTCTCTCTCTCTCTCTCTCTCTCTCNAAGCTGAGGGTAGGAAGTTCATCTGAAAAGTCTGATGCCTTCCTTTAAGACCCCCAACTGATGGGAATGCAGTGGAATTAGAAAGAAAAGATAAATACCTTTGGATATGTGCTTTACGAATGACGTGGTTCCTCTGGAGACCCCACTAACAAAGGCCCCTGGGCCACGGGTGAGACCTTCATAGGGAAGCCTGAAGAAGTCTGCAATCCCATTCCCAACGCTTCTCACCAAACTGGCTGGGCTGCCAAGAATTTCCAGAGATCCAACAACCCATCCTGCAAAGCAACAGCAAGGTAAAAAAAAAAAAAATGTGTTGAGGCTCACACTAACTTCACAGAAATTGCAGCTACAGTAAAAAGAACAAGAAGAGGGGGAATAAAGCCCCTAACTCTCATCCCCTCACCCCCCCTTTTTTTTTTTACACTGAAATTTATCACATCATAAACTTCCTTTGAGAAAAACACGGGAAACAGCTCATCCACTACAGATTCAGCCCCGGCAATCTTTCATGCTTTCTAAATCAAAGAAATCTCTCTGGCAAAAACACAAATAACTTTCAAATGACTTCCTTCCATAAGCCTCCCGTATTTCTGCGAAAGCTATGTGTGGAGAGATGGGTACTGCAGTCGGAGGGCTGGGAGTAATAGGACCAGAGGCTTATTTTGCTTTGGAGGCTTTACATCTCCCAAAGCAACTTTGTTATTTCACATCCACACAGCAGAAGAGTCATGACAGCTAGTTTACAGTGATACACTGTCCCGCCTTGGGGGAGCGTGAAGGTCAGCTGCTTGATGGGGTGTTGGGAAAGGGGATGCAGGTTTTTGACAAGCACAAGGAATTATTTTAATCCATCCAACAGCTCTGTGCTGATCACTTTCCTGTGGAGTCTAGTTATGGCCAGATAAATGACTTCTTGCTCAACATCACTGTGTAAACAGAAATGGCATTTGCATGTTGATTAAATTACTCAGAGGGAGGATCCTTTGTACAGTTCCCCACAAGAGCTTGAGGGTGGAGGAATTTCCAAGATTTAGTTTCTTACACAAAGTTACGGTTGCTGGCAGGGAGCCTGACTCTGAGCATGTTGCAGCTATGCTAGTTCTGAAGGCAGAAGGACCAGAAGGCCACCAAGCCTAGGAGACTTTCTGCAGCCAGGACATTGCAAAGAGACTCCTGTCAAACTAACTAGAAGAGTCAGCATAGCTGACTCAGGAATTCTGGGAGTTGAAGTCCATGAGTCATAAAAGAGCCGAGGTTGCCTACCCCTGACCTAGGTTTACACCTGCCTGAAGGCATGACTAGCTGTCCACACTTGTTATGATCAGCTGAGCAGCTACAATAGACGGACAATTTCTCAGGACAATTTCTCATGCCAGTTCTTTTCAATTAATGCAGTATTTTTGCAACTTATGATACAAAAATATTCCAGAGTGAGAGAGAGGGCTTTACTATACTGATCAACTTACAAGGTTATAGAAAAGTCTAGTAATTTGATATACCAATTGACTTTCAAGCCAATAAGAAAAAAAAGTTTCAATATTACGTTTTTTCATTCTGTTATTTTTTAAGACAACTTAAAAAAACCCATTACATAAGCTACAATAGTTAAGAGTCCACTCTGTCCCTTTGATTCTGCTATGAAACTCCTTTCCAGGTACTCATATATCAAGCGTGTGCTTATTCCTGAGACTTTGCAGTGAGTCTCAATAATTGAATAAACCTATCCACAAAAGCATCATGAAAATAAAAGAGATAACTTCAATTATTTGCCTATATCCAACAAGAAACAAACAACCCTGCAGTGTATCACACAAGCAAACACTATTTAAAGAACTCTTTATCTTCTTGCAAATAGTCTCAGAATTCCAAACAAGCAATAATGCCATCAGCTATTATTCCAAGGGGCTACATGCCACCAGGATACTGTTTTCAGAAAACATACTGGATGTGCATGCATGCCCAGATTTGCATGGATATCAAACCTTCTAACCCAGGGTCCACCTTTCAGATAATTTCATTGATCATATTTTCATGCTGGCTCATTAAGTCAGACAATATCTGACATTGAGTCCAAGACTTTTATGGAGTAGTACTATTAACACTTATGCTGATAGTAACTATAACATTTTCAATGTTTTGAAGGCTTATATACCTGAGATAGCCTATAACAGTGATGGCGAACCTTTTAGAGACCGAGTGCCCAAACTGCAACTCAAAACCCACATGCATTGTCGAGTGCCGGGTGGGTGTGGCCCATTGGCTGGGCATGGCCCATTGGCTGGGCGTGGCCCATTGGCTGGGCGTGGCTGCAGTGGTAATGGCAGACTGGGTGGGACTAAAAAGTTCAATCAATCAATTCCAACTTTGCAAGATCATTTTTTTCCCCGCGAGAAGTTGAAATTGATTGATTGAATCTTTTTTTTTTTTGCACATGGCGGCGGAGGCCTAAAGTGAAAAGGTTTTATAAAACCCAGCTGAAGGCCTAGGACTGGGGCAACGGCACGTGTGCCCACAGAGAGGGCTCCGAGTGCCGCCTCTGGCACGCGTGCCATAGGTTCGCCACCACTGGCCTATAATGTAAGCTCACATTTGAATGGTGGAGGTGTCCCAAGGAAAGATTTCCCTACGGTTGGCAGAGCTGAATGAATTAACAGGTGCTTTGCCAAGAAAAGTACAGGGACTTGTCCAGGCAGTCTCTAAGAACTGGACACAATTGAAAGGAAGAAAAAAATATATCCATAGATTATTTGTTTTTTTCACTATCCATTCTGACTGGCATTTTAAGACCTCAAGTGGTGGACTTGCCCCACTCCTGCTGTGCATTCCTTCTGAACTAAAAATAATTATGGGAGTCTATGCATGCAAGACAGGTGTGAACAATGGGTCATTTCTATGGTTTGCTTTTCTACCAATTCATAGGGGGAAAATGTCCATTTATTCTTATAAACAGACCAATCCGGCACCAATAAAGGAGAATATTTGTTGCTCTCTATACTTGGTTATTTTCTTGCAGACATTTTATTACCTACATAACCTAGTTTGGATAAGAAAATGTCTGCAAGAAAGCAACCAAGCTCAGACAGCACCAAGGACTCCTCAAACCAATCTGGATGTGTGTCCGGCAACATTTACAGGGTCTCTGAATGTGTATGAAATTAGCTATTCCTCTGACACCCATTCACATCGTGGCTGACAGCACACATTAGAATGATCTAGGTCACGGGTGTCAAACCCGCCACGTCACTTGACGTGTCACGACACATGGTGACTTTTTTTGCATTGCCGGAGCTAGGGTGGGCGCGACCTCCGTACGATGCAACCGGCCTGTGGGCCGGCCGTTTGACAACCCTGATCTAGGTCATAAGAATTGGAATGGAGAAAAACAATTGTTTCAATGCAATGTATATACTTGCATATAAAAATGTGTTACAGAGATTGAGTCATTTTGTGACTGTGCAGGTATGGAAGTAAGACAAGCTAGCCATTAATTTAAAAGACTGTTTGCTCAGTATTGATCCTGGATAGCAAAGAATCAGAAAAACAAACACACTGCTCAGATCAAAGGACAATAAACATCTGCATGCCAGTCTAGTGTGAGGATTCTATGAAGAAAGACACATTGCTAATCATAAGTGGCAGCCAAAGAGAAATTGAACAAGAAAACAGTTTTCAATGGCCTAATTTGCTTCAAATATACAGAGATGAATTGAATAATGCCACAAAAGAAAACTCATTTTGTGAGATCATGTTAAGAAACGGTTTGGAATTTCGAATTAAGTAGCTGGCTAGCACAGCAAAGAGACAATCAGAATGTAGAATCTATTTGTGTCAAGGCTTGTGAATACCCCATAAAAGTCCAAATAATTTTTGCTGTTTAATATTACTAAGTTTTCTTCTCATTTTCAGATGAGTTAAAGACAATATTCTTTGAGACAGCACTGTTACTTTGCAGCTGCAGCGCAATCAGCATGCTGACAATAAAAAGAAAAATCCCCCGACCTCTGCTATCTGAATAGGTAATGCAAATTTTCTTAGCAACAGCATGGAAACAGTTTGGTTGCCTCTCCCTTTTTCCAGGATGTTTTCAATTTAGCCCACCTAATATTTAAAATAACATTTCCATGAGTAAGAAGTAAGAAGCGATTCTAAGTACTTTGTAACCTTAGCTACGCTCTCTGGAACATATATTAAGCTATGGTCATTCCTCAAGTTATCTTGCATCTATAATAATAATAATAATAATAATAATAATAATAATGATGATGATGATGATGATGATGATGATGATGATGATGATAAAGTTGGAAGGGACCTTGGAGGTCATCTAGTCCAACCCCCTGCTCAGGCAGGAAACCCTATACCATTTCGGACAAATGGCTGTCCAATCTCTTCTTAAAAACTACCAGTGTTGGAGCATTCACCTCTTCTGGAGGCAGGTTGTTCCACTGGTTAATTGTTCTAACTGTCAGGAAGTTTTTCCTTAGTTCTAGGTTGCTTCTCTCTTTGGTTAGCTTTCACCCGTTGCTCCTTGTCCTGCCTTCAGGCGCTTTGGAAAATAGCTTGACTCCCTCTTCTTTGTGGCAGCCCCTGAGATATTGGAACACTGCTATCATGTCCCCCCTAGTCCTTCTCTTTGTTAAACTAGACATACCCAATTCCAGCAACCGTTCCTTATATGTTTTAGCCTCCAGTCCTCTAATCATCTTTGTGCTGCAGCTCATGAAAGCTTATGCCTTTTAATAAAACTTGTTAGTTGGAAAAGGTTCTGCCAGATTCCTCCTGATTTTTTTTCTCCCAAAGAAACAGGTATCTCTAATAAAAGAGTTGGGTGGACAACCATATGGTTTTTGGTCATCAGCGCAGGACAAAGCATAATTTCTATTGGGGTCTTTCAGAAACGCAGCCATGCATTGTAAACTTAACCTAAAAATGTATACAACTATTAAAAAACAACAACATACCTGCTCGAAATAGTGCTCCTGCAGCATAATGCATGGCCAGGGCATGAATAAGCTGCCTGGAAGTTGTAAAAAGGGGTCCTCGTTCAAACACAGAAAAGGAGAGAGGAGTGTGATCCGAAGCAATATATATCTTCAGTGAAGCATGGATGCTCACCAAGAGGTTTACTGGCTGGATGGCCAGCTTCGTTAACTTTACTGGATTGACTAAAGCGTTTGCATGCTGCCTCACCTGTTCTGGCAGTGCCTGGCTCACAGTTAATGCTTTTGCGGAGTGACAAACGCTTTTGCTGTCTGGAAGATAGGTCTCAAATAAAGTCTTAATGTAATACACAAATGTGTCTTCCACATATAACCTGGCTGGTTTCATTTCAAAATTGAGATCGTTCACATGGAATAATAAATTTTGCTCTTTTGACAAAGTGACACAAAGTTTTACAAATGCATTCTTGTTACATTCTTCCAGGTCTTTACTGGAAAGCGTAAGGTTATAGACTTTAGCCCACTGTATGGTTTCATTTTTTTCTCCCTGGCACAACACTACTGGGAAATGAAAATTGGACTTGTTGTAAAGCTGATTGTCCAGCTGAAAGTCTCCACAGTAAATCTGGAGAATATAAAACTGCTGAAGGCCACTGGTGGACTCTTCTTGAAATTTATGAAAGAGAGGTCTAAGGTAGCTGGCAACTGGAACCATATTAAGATAAATGTAGTCTACTGTAAATCGCAGAAGTTCTGATGATACTTTAGGGTTCGTGATGTCATCATACACTGTGAGGCTCAGCTGGTTAATAAACAACTTAAACACAAGGCTTTGCTCCTGGCTTCTGTATAAGACAAAACAACATCATAAAGATTCCTCCAGTTTCAAATAAAAAAATAAAATGCATATGAATTTTTTGTGAACTGAACATGAGGATTTGGTCAACTTATGCAAACAGATATCATTGTATGTGCCAAGCTACACCTTCCCTACCCATTTAACGTAAGTGCATATTTTAATTCTTAATGTAACATTATGTTTAAACTTCCTTATAATATTTTATGCATAGCAATTTTCAGTTGTGTTTGTATTGTAAATGGCAAATAAAGCAATCAGTGGAAAATATCCCCACATCTTGTTATATCTTGGGCTGTTTGAAAAACCTCTATATACTATTCTGTTTTTGTTTTAGCTTTGCCTTTATAGTTTTTAAAATAATAGGTTTATGATTGTTTTATATATCTATTGTTTTATTGAATTGTTGTACACCAGAGTACCCCAACATTTTCAGCTTTGCGGACCGGGGGAAGGGAGAGGGGATGGTTCCACATGCTCAGCTGCTCTCACAAGTGGGGATGCAGGCGCATGCTCGCCCACCACTTCCACGGCCCAGTTCCAAAAGGCTCATGGCCTGGTAGTAGGCTGTGGACCAGGAGTTGGGGACTTTTGTTGTACACCATCCAGAGTCACTTTCCATGAGATGGGCAACATTTAAATTTGATTGATAAGTAAATAATAAATATGAATAGTTTCTATTATGGATCATTAATGTCACATTATGGAAGCCGCATTTCCCCCCGTTAAATCACCATGGATATTTTAAAATGATGATAGGCTGGCTTGCTTCACGGTCTTAGCCACTCTTCTGCCAAGCTTAACTGCAAGTGAAACAGTAAATACTGATACTTGCTAATTTCATGATGATTCCTAATTATAGGATCTTTTAAAACTACACAAACAAGCCTGCAATAAAATTTCTGTGCTCTCTATAATAAAGTCAAGCACTTTGGCAGATACGAATGGGTGATATTATAAACCTCACAACAGAGATTTTGCAGTTTGGGGCCACAAGGCAGTGTAATAAAGATGATCAACTGCAAAGTCTGTATTGGATCATTCTTCTGTCCTGCATCATGAATGAGAACTCCCACAGACCTCAATGGGAGTTAGGTGCAAGAAAGGTCTGCTGATCTGGCCAATAAACTTGAAATGTGTGAGTCTTCTCTGAGTTTTGTTTATTATAACAGGCACTTCATGTTTATCCTTTGGTGACATGACCTCAGATGTTAAATTGTCATGCCTTACAATGATATACAAAATGTTAACATGTGTTCTAAACATACACCACTCACATGTGCAGTTAGACCAAACAAAACAAATAGTTGTGCTAGTTTTAATAGTCACTTCACACCTAGAGGACTAAATAGCTATCCAGAACAATTTTCTTTCCAAGCAGTTTTAACATACCTGATCAAACTGTCTTGGTGTCCTAGCTTTCCTTCAGGTGTTAAAGTGATTATTACTGTCCCGCACTGATGATCAATATCCACATAAAGGTAACCAAACCCAGTTAAGAAAATAATCTGTGAAAAATAAATAATTCTTAGAAATCTAACAAAGGTGGCTCTGCCTTGATTCATTAAAATTAACACTGAAACAGAAGAGATAATGACTGTTTCTAAGAAAATATAAATAACAGTTAGGGTTAATTCACAGGGTCCCATCTTCCCTCCATAAGAATAATTGTCTACACTGGATTTTATCATCTAGCAAAGACAGAGCATTTGGCTAAACATTTGCATGAAAGTATACTTAGCCATATTGAAAGACATGGTTGTACAGCCACTTCTAAAAATTACATACTGAAACACTGTGCCAGCTGATGATCTGATACTACATTGTGATGCATTTCTTTTTTTCTCTGGTTCCAGAGGTTCTCCAGTTCAAATAATTCCAGCATGGATGCACAAGAATGTACCCAACTCAAAAAAGAATCATCTTTTGCTCTTTGAAAATTATAATAATTTTTAAATTCATAGATTTGTTGAAAATAAAAGTATCACTACATATATAAACTGAAAAGTGCTGATATTAATTTGTCCAGTAGCTCTGGTCTACTCAGACATCTATATTCCCACCAGTGACAAAACATCACTGCTTCTGAGGCAGGTAAAAAGCTTGAAATATGCTTAACCTAATCAAGGGAATGGAAAAGGGAAGCTTTTCTCAAATGTAGCCATGTTATTAAAAGCTTGATAAATTACTATTTTTGTTTCTAGATTACACTTATCTTGGCTTACCAGTGTTATTAGTGGACACAGACCTCTTCTGAAACATGAAATAACATCTTGCTGAATTATTTCTTTGAAGATTTCCTGATGGCAATTAATTCCTCAGGTCAAATAAACATAGCAGAGGAAGCTCTACTATTTAGTTTCTTAGATTTACAGACATTTGCCTTCATTAAGTATGCTTTTAAACTTGCATTGTGAAAAGGGCTTTTTTTTTTTTTTTGCCCTTGCAACTCCTGCCTGTTTCTGAATGCTTTGGAATCTGAGCCAAAGTTGGCTTTGATAGCAAATGGCAGATGGGAATTTCAGTTAGTATCTACTGAGCTTTCTTACAAGAAGAAAGAGCACTTAAATTAATGGCTCAACTGAAAGAGCAAACAGCTTACGATCTTATGATATCGGAGTTGCTTTCATTTTTGTGCCAAAATTACAACCAGAACTAACTAATTCTAATGCAAAGGAATTGCAAGTTCTGTGTTTTCTGAGAAATGATTATATACTTGATAGCACATTTTTTCAATATTCTGATTTCGAGATAGAGTTCCATTTGGCAAATAAGTTTTTAAATAATGTAACCAAAAGCTCTTTGAACTTTAATACATAACCAAGAAAATGAAACCTGCAGAAAAAGCAGTGGAAGCTGATGCTCTCCGGATAAAAGCATCCACATCATGAAAAATGTGAACTTTCACTGGGGAAACCTAGACATAGACTGAAAGTGGCATCATTTCTCTGACTACAGGTTGATATTGAGAAAATCCTTTTTCCACCCAAGCCCTCTTTGTTCCCTTCAAAATGTTTACTAAGGGATCTTCTGAGGAACCACGCAGTCCCAAACCACAATCCTGGACAATACAGGAGAAGACCAAGGGAAGAGATAATATTTCTTCTTCTGGTAGCAATTCTATGATCCAAGTGTTTGTTCAGCAATAAACAGCATTTGCTTACTGAATTATATTTTTTAGCTTAACTTGGGAAAGATACAGCATTTGCTGATAATAATCCCTTGGTAGTGTTGTGTTTATTATTCCTCTCACCTCCCTATAAGTTTTCTTTTATTATATTTTCTCATTCCCTTTATCTCTTCACTAGCAACATTTGGTTTGGAAAATCCTTGGCCAGGATTCCTTTCTTCTTTAAATCTGTTGCTCTGTAAAACTTTATATATATTCATGGTGCGACTAAATAATACAAGATTTCGGCAAAACAAGTTCTGCCACTGTTAAATATTTAAAATGAAAGTAATCACCAATGTGGGAGCTAATATTTACTCTTAAAAAGTTAAAGTGATACCTTTATCACTTCATCTCTCCCCAACAGACTTTGGATAGGAACGTTGATTTGAGGCAGAAAAATGATACCATTCCACAATCCCTTGCTGACTCTATTTTAAATATGGTTAAAAGGCACCAAAAAAGCATGCATTTTAAAATTGTTATAAGATAATCTTAGCTTCTAACATTGAACCCAAAACAACAAATGTTTCTGAACAATGGAAAGCACATGTTGATTAATGAGATTGAAAAATGTAACGAAGAATAAAATGTAAAAAAAAATATTCACAGTTTTTAAAAGCCGGAAAAAGATTGTATTTCTATCTTTACAATGGTAACAGAACTGCCCTCAAATCAATAAGGTATTATAAACTGATTCCGCTTTATTTTTGAAACTCAAAAAATGTTTACATATACGGTTCTGCTAAGGTAGAAAATCACTAATCACAATAGAAAAAACAATTCTTTAAGGAAGGAACATTTAGCATCTCTTGGGAGGACCAAACTATTAGTCTCTCTCCTTTTTCATAGTATATATTTCTTGCTTTTTAAAAATAAAATAGAAGAGTGTCATATAAAATTAGCATACCTATCTAGACTATCTAGACAACATCCTTTCTGCTACAAGGAAATGCATTCAGGCCCTTTATTTGTTTTTAAGTTGTAGATATTATGTTATTATTGTGGATTTATAATCTGCTCTATGCAAATGTTATCTTTTATTGTTAAAATACTTTATGCTGCAACACAGTCAATTTAAAACCCAACCAAACCACTAACCTGTGTTCCTTGGTTATTAATGTCAACAGAATCACTCCATTCATTTGCCTGTTCCTCTGACGATATAACTTTTAAAAGAATGCTAGGAACCAATTCTCTGGTTTTGCAATCTGGATAGCTGGCAATTTGATGATAAAGCTCATGGTGCACTGAACTTTCAGCTGGAATACGCTTGCAGTAAATAGCAAACTTTGGTGTGTCTAGAATTTAAGGAAATATCAAATAGGCACTTTAAAGAGCAGTCTCTGAATTTATGGTGCTATTCCATATCTCAATATGCACATGCAAATCTAGCCTGTAAAAAACTCTATCTGACAGATTATCAGTACATATCATTTCCTTGTTTACTTTATGGATCTCCTCTTTACTTCCTTGCCCACGGAAGCTAATGTTTGGCTTAAATATGTTTCATTTTGGATAAATGACAAGGAAGAACAAGCACAAGCTTCTTCATTAAATGGTTGAAGCATTATGCTGTAGCAACAAAAATGACATACCTTTGATGTTTTCTTTCAAAAGCAGTGAGACAGGACACCTGTTGTGGATAATTATGCGAGGACTAGGATCTTCTGATAGCGTTAAGTATGTCACCCCAAGATGTTCCTGGTAAGTCAGTGCTATAGCTCTAAACAAGAATGCAAATTACACACTTCTTTAAAAAAAAGTTCATCTGTAGTTAAAAACTGTACCTTCTTAGTAAGATATTAAAGAATAATTATTTGAAATTTTTCTACCTAAAATCAAAATCCTCCTATCTTAAAGAATATAACATTACCCTTATGAAAAACTTAAGAAAGAAAAACAAAATGGAGAAGTAGTTGTAATACAAAAAGATTTCATGTGAGAAAATATAATCATATGTATAATATTTCCCCTAAAGATGTCCTTCATTTAAAAGGGCAATTCTGTAGTATTAATGTGACTACTCCAAAGAACTTTCCAGCACTAAACACCACTTATATTAAATAAATGCAAAATAGTAATAAAAAGCAAGATGTATAAGTAAGATGTACATTTGTTAGCATCATGAATGACTGGCATATGGGAATATAAATGAAATCAGATTCTTATAATTTATATATATATATAAATATATTAATCAAATTGAATGAGCATGTTAATACTTACAGCCATTAATTTAAAACATTCCTTCATGTATTTTTGCAACAATAGCAAATAAAGCAAACCAATTGGTTATATTATTATTTAAAAGTACCTCACAGTTGTTCCAGCAATGTTTTATCAGAGATTCCTTTCAACAAAGTGTCTAAACAACTTTTCTTAAGAGTAACATACGAGTAGCAAAATATGTTTAGTGTATAATATTCTCAGTTTTTAGTGCCCACATATACAAAGTAATTGAAATATGGGATTATTGGCATAAATCTCATCCAGATAACAAAATCTAAAACTATAAGGTTTTGTCAATCCCAGATAATTTGCTTTGGACTCAATTTAAGAATGCATTCTTACACTTTTAACAATGGTCCTATTTATTAAATAGTTTGTTGAATATTTCAAAAATATTTATTAGTATCCTATAAATATAATGAATGCCTGATTTTAAAAAGATCTAGTGAAAGAAAAACTTGGGCACTATTTTTGAACTTGAATCAAACAAATAGTTTTTTCTTCTCTATTCTAAATAATGTTTGACCTAACACTGCTCAAGAATATTAATCAGTTTCATTAAAAATATAAGGATTTTATTCATCATCATAGAAATTGATAATATTCTTCAATATGTAGGTATACTATCAAAGTAAATTTTAAAGAATTATTTAGAATGTTTCTTGAACCACATTCTTGTGGCATGCTAAAATCTTCTTACATATTTTCAGTGCTGGAAGAGTCACTTATTTTCTTTATATGCTTTCCATGAATAAAATCCAAGATTACTCTGGAAAAGCAGGCAGTGAGGAAAATGACCTGATTCAGTATTAGTAGTTTCCTATGTTAGTTTAATGGCCAACTGTTTGAAATAAATAGCCAATGTTACAATAGAACAATTATCCAGGGTCTATTTATAATAAATTGAGTTCATTTTTAAAAATAATCTACACATTTTATACCAAAAATGATAGCATACAAACACATATGAACACAGAAAAATGAAAATATTGTGCTCAGTATGCAGCTGGAAAAAAGAAGATAATTTATCTATTATTTAAGGAGAAATGAGCAAATAACTGAGCTCTCATGTCTATCGAGCATCCATATCTAGTCTACACAGGGTTTTTATTGTAAAGCAGAGAATAAACTTAAAATAAGTGAATACAAAATATATCAAGTTTGGAGCCAGGAATCTTTACTGCTTTAGAACTTTGCTAGTGTGTCCTGCTGATGTCTGGTAGGATTACTGTGTTTTGTCAGCAACTTTTTTTCTAAGGCATATTTTGGAATCTCTTGAAGCTCAGCCACACTCTTCATAAATCATCCAGAGAAGTCACTGTTGAGTGATTGAAATGATATAAGGTATTCCCCTCCTCAATGCTTAGGGATTGAAATTCATTGTCTTCAAAGCATCTCCCACATAGATTACTCTAAAGGCAATACCATATGGTTGATTCTGATCTTACTTAACTTTATATAGCTTCTTATTTATATCTACAGCATATTCTAAGAACAAAATCAGTTTCGGGACAGGAAATGGAAATCAAGTTTTCTAATCAGCAATGGAATTTTTACTGTAAGGAGTGGCTTAGTTTCAAAGGAGAAGGCAACTTTGGATATAGGTTGCCTTTAAAACTTTGACACTTTCCTTCTGTATTCTCCAGATCATCACTTGCCTCATTAATTTTCTTCCATATTCTTCTCATTTGTTCTTCTTTCAAATAAACTGTACAATAGCTGTAAATAGCTATAAACTGTAAATAGCTATCTTTCTCTTCAACTACTACATTGGAAGAGATCTAACACACCCAGAGGAAGAGGTTGGATTATGAAAATCTCACAGTTCTCAAAATATCTGAAGCTTTGAGAACAAAGTCATTTGCATCATTGATTGCTGTCATATATAAGGAATGAAAAGCAGAAATATGAAAGAAATGAGGACACTTTTTTCATGTAACAAGTACATTACTACATGTCCCCATCATTCAAACAGCAATTCCTCTATTCCTACTGTTAATAGTTGCATCTCCTATGTGATATGAGGCTGCACATATCATAGGTCTATATCATTTTTTGGCAGAATTTGCATCCAATTCTAATTGGCCCACACCAGAATTCCTAGTGCTTTCAGGAGTTATTAAGGCACTGACTTGAGTAAATCTCTGAAGAGAAAGCAAATTTTATAACTGAATGGTAGTAATCAAGAGTAGCTTTCATTTTCTGACTAAGGTATTCTGATAGAAGTGTCATGTTTCTATGGTTTCAGATAATTTGCTATTTTATGGTGTTAAGGATAAAACTATATTCGTTTGTTTAATTTATATGCTGCCAACAACATGTAGGAAGAGATATGTATTATGTCTATGGTGGCAAAGAATCAGAAGGAATCTGGAAACTTCTTTTCCAATGAATACATTTTATTAAAAGACATTGACTTTTGTGAGCAGCAGTGCACTTCATCATAAGAAATATTTAATCAGCCCAGTCACTCTTTGCATTTGATGAAATCAGTTGCAACAGGAAAATATATTGTTCCATATATTTTATTTTACTTTTTGTTTGTTTCTGTCCTGTCTTTATTAATTTTTACAAATAACGCATCCAACACAACTGCCTCCTATTTTCCCCACAATAACAACCCTGTGAGGTGGGTTATGGCCCTTTCTGAACCTAGCTGAAGTATTAATTCTTTATGCAAAATGTACCGCTATAGACTCTGATTATGCTTTTAAATGTTACAAGCCATATAGATTACTGGGGCCTTGTATTTTAGTTCAGGGCCGTGATGGCTCAGGGATTAAAGAGGTTGAGCTTGTCAGCTGGAAAGCTAAGATCTGAGTGCTGCACAACAGGATGAGCTCCCATTACTTGCTCCAGCACCTGCCCATCTAGAGTTTGAAAGCATGCAAATGCGAGTACAAAATAGGTACTACTTTGGTGGGACCACAATAGTGTTCTGTGCACCTTGGCGTATAGTCATGCTGGCCACATGTCGTTGGACAAAGCTGGCTCTCTTGCCTAAGAAACAGAGATGAGTGCTGCCCTTTAGAGGCATACACAACTGGATAAGGAAAACCTTTACATTTATATTTTAGCTGAGATACTAATCTGAGTTGTACTATATTTTTGTATCAATTTCTTGACACTGTCTTTTATTACTTCAGATAATTAGAAGCACAGAAAAATAACGCAGCTACTGTAGTGCTGCTACTGCTACTTTCCTCTCTGGTATATATGTATACATGAAACAGCTTTTGTAACTGCTCAGTGATTGAAAGAACTAAAGTGAATAGCAAGATGATCTTTGAGCTGCATCATAGACAATAGTGGTGACAATGTAGCCTGTCAAAAGCTGAACTCCATGATATCCCAAGAGTGCCATGCACAGGTGTAGGGAACCTACATGTGTAACCACAAAGAACATTCTTGTTTTGCAGAATTGTGGTATTCTCTGGCTCACATTAACCGTGTCAGAAAAGATCTGTCCAATAAAATATTATACATTTCCTTTTCCCCTTTCCTTTCCTTATTGGAAACACACAGTGAACACATACTGTGAGCAAAATATATCTTTACTTTTTCTAATAGTGTGAAGAGGGTTATATGAAAAGTACAACTGAATTTACAATATCAAACACTGTTTCTACTTAAATGAAAGGTTCATTCACATACAGTCTACATACCTGGTGCAGAATCCATTTTCATCTCTACTACCAACAGGTACAGCTATGCTCTGCCTTGGGAATTCCTGTCTAATGACAGCTGGTAAGCTCCAGCATGGAGTGTCGGGACCATTTGTGTTGTGTCTGAAGCTTAGCAACATATACTTCTGAATGGGAAGCTCCTCAGAAATGAATTGGCTCATGTCAGGCATCAAGTCCCAGTAAAGCACAGAACAAGCTTTGGCAGCATCTGACTCCATAGCAAAACCAACATTAAATATTCTGCTGTCTGGAGATGGTAAAAACTAGGGAACAAAAGGGCAAGAAAAAAAGTAAAAGGAATAGAGTACATAACTATTATTTGCTGGAATATCTGACAAACTGGTATTGTAAACTTCTGAAGAATTTTGCTTTTCCATGTATAATAAAGTTTTTGTCCTGGTCCTTCAATATTTGAATTTCATTATTCCAATGATGGAGAACTTGAGAGGAAAAGCACAGCAATATACAAGTTTCAGCAGTAGTTTGCAGCTCACAGAATTATTTTATTGAAAAACATTATTTTGAATGAAATTGGGAAACACACACCTTTTCTTAGTAAAAAGAAAAAACCAATATGTTTTGCATAATGGTGCACTAGCAGATGCCTCAACTTCAATAAAAATCAAGACAAGTCATATAAAGTGCACTGAGGAATGCCACATGTTATTTGTTTGGTTTCTAAGGAAGGGATTTATGAAAGGGTGGCATTCTGCATTTCAAATGTATTTTACTCACATGTTTTGTATACAGAGCTTGGAAAATGCTTATAAACTAACAGAGTTGTGTTGAGGTGCTGCATACTTTCAGGCTGTCAGCAGATGTACCCGCCTTATATGAAAGTGCTGTAACGTAATTCTTAGAACTGGTCAATAGTTATTCCAGATTCTGCTACTCCTGTTTCAGCAGCTTTAAGTATCTAAAGAGAGCCAGGCAGAACTAATACTAGGACCTGGCAAACAATCATTTTTCATTTCCATGACTGACTATATTATGGAATCTATCTTTTAACTGGAATAACTTAACTTTCTCCTCCTGTAAATTCCTCCTGCTTAGAGAAACAGCTTGAACATATATTAAAGAAATATGTAATCAAAGTTGTACCTCTTCCCTGAGCTGGGACTTCATAGCAGAGTACAGCGGCCAGCCACTGATTTGGAATGGGGTGTTATTGACAATTATACTCTTGTCTTCAATCTGGAGGATTTGAATACCACGTCGAACAATGGAAGAAATGCAGAACTGACACAACTGCAGAATAAAGTAATAGAAGGTTAGGCATATATAATTAATCCTTTGTCTTCATGCTAGAAAAAAAAGTAGAGAAACACTTGTCTTGGAAAAAGATATATAAAAATCCTACCTTCTTCCAACATAGTCTTCTTCTGAAATCTATTGTCATTTTTCTTAAGGTGTTCCCTTCATTAAGTTTAGAGAAACAGACAGAGATGCTTCCTTGACAGGAAGTTCTCCATCTCTGTAACTTCACTGACAGTTCTCCATTTCTTCATTACCTTCTACTACTTCATTTATTGCTCATAAGCAGGAACATCTTTGCTTAGCCACAACAGGAGAAAAAAATAGTAGCCCTCAGAACCATTCTTTGGGCCTTTTGCTCCCTGTACAGACAAACTAATGATAAAAGGTGGAGCTTTTGATATTATCCTGTCTGCCAGGTCAGTTGAGAAATGGGATCTGATCTGCATAAATGGAGAATTTTGTTCTCCATTCCTGGTTGTACTAAATGGCAGAACTAGAAACCAAATTATTTTCTTCTAAGTAATAGGCAGAGGAGCAACAGTAAAGGGCTTCCATTCAAGTAAAAGTGCCTTCTTGGAAAAATCGGCTATTAATTACTTAAAATTTAGCATATCTTTTTTAGCAATTTTTGAATGAGATATTTTTTTAAAAAACTTAACGGCAGGCACATTTTTTCTACTTATTGCTTTTAAAGATTTGGATATAATTCTAGTAGGACTAACCTTCTGATGACCTGGAAAAGCTCCAAGTCTGATCTCTGCTTCCACAAATCCTTCTTCATCCAGTGTTACCACCTCCTCATTGTCACCATCTTTCCATTTGGGGGATGTCATGTTGTGAACGAGCTTAATGGCGACTGACTTGTGCACAGTATTACTGTTTGCCCAATATATTCCAATCTGGAAAGCTTCCTGAAAGAGAATATTTGATTACCCTTCCATTTCTCAGTACTTCCATTTGATATTTAGACAGAGGGAGTTTCCAGACTTATATAATCCCAAATAAACTTTGCAACCTTTTTTACAGGACAGTCCTTCAGTATGATAAATATAAATATAAAATAAATAAAGATAAATATTTTATTTCTCCAATCTTGCCTTTACTAGGCTAAGCATACCCAACTCCTCCAGCTGTTCCTCAATAAGTTCTTATTTTAGATCACCTATCTTGGTTGACCTTCTTTGTTTATGCTCTGATTTACTTCCCTAAATGCATATACAAAATAAAAGCAGTATTTTAGATATGTTCTAACCAAAGCATAATAGAAAGGAAGGAAGATCTTGACACTTAAACTTTGTCCATGCAGCCTATTTTGCTGCTTCCTTGTTGCCTCATGTTCAGCTTCTGACCTACTAAAGCACCCAGATCCCTTTCATGTCCACCACTGTCCAGTATTAGTCCCTAATACTATGCATGGGCCTTGGATTTTTTTTTTCTGCCTAGATGAAGGTCTTTGTAAGTTTCTATCAACATTCATACTGTTGGTTTTGAAACCCAGAATGATATAGCTTTCAAAGCTTCATTTTTTCTACCACACTATGCAAAGCTTTGTGCAATGGTAACTTAGTATGATAAACAGACCAATATGTTTATATGCTGTAGAACAGAGGTCCCCAACCTTTTGGGCACCAGTGACCGGTTCCATGGAGAGAGGTTTTTCCGCGGACCAGAGAGGGCGTGGTTTTGTGTGTTGCCTGCATCCCGTGGATGGGGCTTTGCTTGTTTGTGTGGACCGGTTGCTGGTATGCCACGGACCAGGGGTTGGGGACCCCTGCTGTAGAAGAGACACTCAAGTAACTTCTACATCTCCTACCCAGTTAAGTGTATGATTCACAGCTAAGACTAATTCTGTACATCCAAAGATATAGCTTAAAATTCTAAATAGAGAAAGCATCAGAGAGCCATGCACAAAAAGTTAAGTAGAAATATTTTATATTAACAAATCAATCTGACCTACATACATAATTAGAGATAGCTAAGTTATATTAAAGGTTTTAATCCTATTTGTTTAAGGAACATAAAGGAATAAATATAAAAATTGTGCACATTTCAGAAATGATTCCTCAGAAAGACTTTGGAATTTGCACAAGTGTCGCACTTCTCTGGTATTAAAAAGTATGTGAAAATAGATTTTCTGTGAAAAATAGAAAAAAGGAAGGACATTATAACTCCTAATGCTTTAAAAGTCACATTAACATTTATGAGAGAGTTTATTAAATACAACACCTGAAAAAGTGTGCTACTCTGATAAAAACAGGAATGTGCCATGCTTGTGTGAAATTTGAAACAATTCTGAAACATTTTCAAAGCATACATTAGCCAATATAGTAGCCCTGGTTGCTCAACTTCAAAACTCCCATAAAAATCCCTCACACTTCAAATAATGGAAGTTGTCACTGATCTTAAAGAGACTTCTCACTGTTTGTCCCACATTATGAACAGAATTAACTGGATAGGTGGGCCAATTTTCAGCTGGAGAGTAAGCAGACAAATGCCCCCACTTGTTACTTATGTGATTCTCTACTTGTGTAGCTACTAACAAAAACAAGATGCATTGTGCCCTATGTGCGACTGGGGTCTGGCGTACCTGGAGGCCTGCGTTGCTGGGGCCGGCTGATTTTGACTGCAATTTCCCCCCCCCCCTTTTTATGGGGGTTAAAAAGACCTGGGAACTATGCTGCCTTCTCTTAATCCATCTAGCCCCCGACTAGGACTACCACCACGAGGACTTTCCCCCCTCCCCTACTCTGCTGCTGGACCTCCTGATGCGACTTCGGACTGTACTCCAGGAGGGAACTGCTGGCCCTGCGCGACTCCCCCATCGCGCAGGCATGGCCCAACACGATTCTAAGGGCCGGCCTTGATGAAGGGGTCTGGAACCCCGAGAGGTGGCACTCAGCGACAGCACTGAGGGAACTAAGAAGAAGGAAATTACGTGTCTTCTTAGAGGGGTGTTTTATTAAATTT